ACACCCTGAATTTTAGTGGTTGCTGCCTGGTTGTGGCAGTCCATCATTAGATCGCAGTAGTGACAAGCTGTGGATTCTTTTTCCACTTAGCTTTTCACAGAGACATGATTCTTCAGCCACAGGCTAAACCCCTAACTTGGCCCCAAATGGTGGATATTCCAGTCCAAAGATGCAAGTTAGACCTTGACATTTGACTGAATTATTTTTGAAAGTTTTACATGTTAGATCCTCCATGGGAAAAAATATATATAATCGTCTCTCCTTCCCCTCTCTACTTTACATTGATGAGATGAGACTCAATGAGGTGACAATGCCATGTAGGTCAGGGGCACACCTAGCCAAGTAGTGAGCAGACTTGGATGAAAGGGCTGTTCATGGAGTTCAGGAAAGCAGCAAGGGGGAGAAAGCAAGGGAAGGTGGTAATGAGGTCCAGGGACCAGAAACAACAGGGACCTGTTGCCTCCTTTAGGCTGAAGGGGCATGTGGGGGGTAGTGACAAGACCCCGCGGGTAGCTGCAGCCAGGAAGGGCCTGGGACAAGGCCCTGGCCAGCCGTCAGCTCACCAGGGTGGGATCTGGCAGAACAAACACCCTGACCTCCTTCTCCTTCTCATCTCTTGTCAATGGTCAGTGGTCAATCTCAGTGGTCAAAGACAACCAGAAACCAGAGCACGAGAAAGTCTCTTGTTATAGGCCACCCAGCTCAGCCTCCTAGATCTCAGAGTAGGGTGGAGACAGCTAGAGAGTGGAGCTGGGGAGGCCAGTGGAGATTATCCTTCAGACTTTCTGAAAAATAACTCCTGGTGTCAAAGATATGGTAAGGTAATATTCTCAAGATTGATGGTTTATGACCCCTGTCCCCATTAACAAAAACAACTAAAGCTGCTGTTCTACTTCAAGATGGTGTATGTGATGCTTAATTTTATGTGTCAACTTGATGAGGCTAAGGGATGACCAGATAGCTGGTAAAACATTATTTCTGGGTGTGTCTGTGAGGATATTTCTGGAAGAGCATCAGTAGACTGAGCAAAGAAGAGCCATCCTTGCCAATGTGGGCTTTCATCATCAAATTCTTTGAGGGCCCAAATGGAACAAAGTGATAGAGGAAGGGTGAATTCTCTCTCTCTCTCTCTCTCTCTCTCTCTCTCTCCCTCTCCCTCTTTACTTAGCAATCTCCATACCCAACACAGAGCTCAAACTTAACAACCCTAAGATCAAGAGTCACATGTTCTACCAGCTGAGCCAGCCAGGTACCTCTCCCTCTCTCTTTTTGAGCTAGATTATCTACCTTTTCCCGCCTTTGGACACAGGAGTTCTTGGTTCTCAGGCCTTCAGGTTTGGCCTGAATTATACCACCAGCTTTCCAGGTTCTCCAGCTTGCGGATGGCACATCGTGGGATTTCTTGTCCTTTATAACCATGTGAGCAATTCCTTTAATAAAAACCTTATCTCTCTCTCTCTATATCCTATTGGTTCTGGAGAACCAGAACCTGGAGAAACTTGATACACGCTATTAGAATAATCTATGCATATATGAGACTGGAAGTCTGTTCCTCAATAATGCTTATGTGACAGGAGAAGATTTATTAAAGCATAAGTATTCTACAGAGAGTTCTGTGTTAATAACGTTGATATCCAGGGGCACCTGGGTGGCTTAGTCGGTTAAGCGTCCGACTTCGGCTCAGGTCATGATCTCGCGGTTCGTGGGTTCGAGCCCCGCGTCGGGCTCTGTGCTGACTGCCAGCTCAGAGCCTGGAGCCTGTTTCAGTCTGTGACTCCCTCTCTCTCTGACCCTCCCCTGCTCACGCTGNCCTCTCTCTCTGACCCTCCCCTGCTCACGCTGTCTCTCTCTCTCTCTCCTAGAAATAAATAAAAACACTAAAAAAAATAACGTTGATATCCAGATCTTCGCGGGTGTAGAATTGGGATAATGGGTGCGAAGAGAGACTGGAGGAAAAGAGGAAGGACCTGACACAAGAGGCTAAATTCGCCTCTATAATAAAGAACTCAGAAAGAGGGGAGACATTTGGGTGCTGAAGAGAGTACAGGAGATTTTGACACGGAAAAGACCCTTGAGTAGCTATTGATGTGACAGAATTAAGGAGGACAAAAGGGGGCTTCAGATAAACTTTGCAAAGTGTTTATATCTTTTCAAAAGACTTTAATAAATAATTGAAATTCCTTTTTAAATGACTTTCAGTTGCTGAACCATAGCAGAGCCAGGGCCCACACGGGCCATTACGGGCCACCTGTAATTTCACTAGAGTTACACCAAAATACTTTCTGGATGGTATTGGCAAGTGAGGACTGGTCAGCAACCCCTCCACACACCATGATCTCTATGCTCTGAGCAGCTGCACACAAGCCTAGAATCTTCTGAGGACCCAGCTTTCTTCCACACCGTTGCTCCTTACACAGGACCACTGTAATATGGAAGGGATGGAATGGATGACAATTTGACTCTTTCTGTACAGAGGTCAGAGAGGATACACAGGTTGTTCATGATTACCCATAAGCCTAAAGGAGAAAGGAGGCCCATCCCAGGTCTCTGAATCCCTATGTGGCCTGCGTTCTGCTCAGCTGACAATGAGTAGACAATTGTCTACAATGAGTAGACAATCAGTAAATTGTGTTTCCTTCCCTTTCTCTAGAAAGTAAAAATCCCTTTCCCCTTACCTTCTTGAAAAGGTCCAGGCTTTTGTCAAGGGGCCAAGTATGGGACCAGACTGGAGACTGAGTGTTTATAAAATCATTTATTTTGAGTCCTTAATCTCTTTCTTGAAAGCAGTGTGAATTGCGTAAGTGTGGGAGGCCACGCCCACAGACCTGAGGTCTGAGCAATGAGGCATGCCATCTATACTACGTTCTGAATTCCCCGGCCATGCAGCCCCGCAGCACTGGAGGCTCTAATCAGGATGGGGTGTTTCCTAATGTGGGCTAATGGAATGTGGGAGACACCCACTGAGGAGTTCTGAAAAGAAGCTTCCATTTTCTTTCATGGGTACTATCAAAAAAGCAGCTTGCTCTCTCTCCCAAGTAGGGATGAGGGTACATACAGGTTTGGTTGTGGCTGGCAAGACCACATTGCAGCCTTGGAGGCTGAAAGTTTTCAGATGAGGTTGATGCCATGGAGGAGGATGGAGAGACCAAAAGTAAGCAAGCAAACAAGCAAACAAAACAATTCAGAGCAGATGGATCTCACCTGGATGGGCAGAAAGCCCACCCACCTTGAACTTTTTTATTGTCATGGACCAATTGATTCCTTTTATTGCTTAAGCCGGTCTGAGCTGTGTTTTCTGTCACCGCAGTAAAGACCATCCACCCTCCTGATGCCGCACAGCAGCTTAGACCCTGTGCTGCAGGGTCAGGAATAGGGAGGCGTAGTCTGGGTCTGAGAAGATTCCGTTCAACACAGGTGATGTGTCACTGTGTCACTGGTTTTTAATTCTCTTAGGGAGGGAGAGAAGGTCAGTTAAGTTCATCTTACAGCTTGTGTCGAGAGGTGATAAGTCAGTCACTCAGCCAAGGCCCAGCTGAAAGGATGCTTCATGTGCTTGAACGTGACCCTCTAAAAGCTCAGAGGGCGTGGGCTGCCAGAGCCATGTAGGCTGGGGCTTCTTTACGGGGGATTCCTTGGACCTCTAGAGGGTCCATAGAAAGATGTCAGGAAGTCCATGAAACCCTGAAACTGTATGAGGAATTTTGTGAGTACATTTTCACCAGGTTTCACCAGGTTTCACTGTTCTGTGTTTAAATGGTATAACGCCCTCTAACCCCCCTTGTCTGGGTTTCCCCTTGTCATAAAACAGAGAAGTGACTACTCTTCCTTTTTTCTCCCCAGAAGTGATGGACATCAGAGAGATTGTAGATGGTAGATAAGCCCATTAGATGGAAAAAGCATGTTTCAATGATCAAGGACTGTGCCAGACTATCAGGAGAGGTGAGCAGGGCACATGTCCTGGAGTGAGAGGGTCCGTCTGGAGGTGAAGGCAGACATAAGCTTAAGTGAAGAACAATGATGGGGACCAGACCTGCCTTCACTGTAGGATACCCATGAACGTGTGCCAATGCACGCCGCATGCCACGTGGGTACGGGATAACAATTAATGTGTGCATTGTCTGTGGTTTTCAATGGGCATTTCTGTAACACTGCCTTATACGGGCCATGGGACCTGGGTCTTGCATGTTTCCCCCAAGTTCGGAGAGCGCAGGGCCCAGAGTCCCTCAATAAACGGTGATGCTGTTACTCAAATTCAGGTGTTCTGTTTTCTCTCTGGGTGCTCTATGCTTTATATCAGTGGTTTCTGAACCTGACGGATCATCAGCATCGCCTGGATACTTCCTACAATGCAGAGTCTTGGGCTCTACTCCGGCCCTAGAAAGGCTGATTCAGTGTGTCCAGGGCAGGGCCTGGGCACCTGCATTTTTGGAAGTATTCCCAGGTGAATCTGAATACCACTTAGGTTTTTGGAACAACTGCTGTATATAAAGAGCATTTGTGTGTGTGTGTGTGTGTGTGTGTGTATGTGTATGTATTTCCATACATGCGCACAGTTTATGCAATAGGCAGGCCTAACAAACCTGTAAGATAGGTAACGTATCTTGGATGCCTCTCATCTACTTTTGTATGGCTCTCCTACCCTTTAGCCATTTTCCCCGATGCCTCATGGTTCTTTTGCTAACCCCTCCTCAGATGGCAGCTTAGTCCCATTTAGGGGTTGGTGAATTGTCACAGTAGACTCTTAGGGATGGAAAATCACCTAAGTGAAGGAGTAGATCTCTAATGGTAGAATTTCAGGCTTTGGGAATGGCGACTGTGTGTGAGAGACGTCTTAGGGAGGGGAGACAGCTTACTGTGCTGTGTGGCGGTGGTAGATTTGCCGAGGCAGCTCTCTGCCACAGAACCCCCCACGTGTATTACCACATGCCTAGGTGTCTACCGCACAAATATGATACCCACAAAAGTCTCAGAATGAAAAGCAAACACGTATAATGAGCAGGTGGATTTTTGGAGTGTGCAATCTTTTTCAGGGGGAAAAAAACCCATGAAAGCATTTTCAGTGTCAAGTCTCAGCACAAGGCGTGCTCTTGAAGCTGGAAGAGAGGCATCCAGAAATACGGGTTTGTCATGGAAACGCTGACAGGGCTTCAGCCGAGGGATGCTCACAGGTGCAGCCCGGATGGCGCAGCCTTTTGTGGCTTATTTACATCCCAGCCCACTGAATGAATTCTCGTTTCCTGTTTCCTGGCCCTGGAAAGCCAGCTGGCCTTCTGGGGCCTGGGGGGTTCCTACCAGGAAATGGCTGTGTCTCTCCTGGTAGTAGTTTCTGGACTTTTGGAGCAGGGAATAGAGATGGCCTTAGGATTGGTTTCACATCTGGGAGACGGGGTCCTGGAGGGAGCAGAGAAAGAAATGAGGGAAGGAAGGGGGGAGGGAAGAAGGGAGGAAAGTAGAAAGATGAGAAAGAAGGAAGGATGCTGATTCCAAGCGCCAGGCGCACCCCTAGAAGGATAAGCATCATCTTCATGTCTTTATCACCATCGGCTGTAACCCAGTGAGTCATGACAGGTTATTGCTACGTTACAGAGGAGGAGACAGGCTGGTGGCACATAAAGATTCAGAGCATACAACTCATCCTCGGGCAGACTAGCTGGCTGGGCGGTGTGAGCGTTAGGAAGTTTCCCCTGAAACTACCACTTTTGTCGATGCAAGCAGGGCACAAAGGTCTTCCCTTCATGAGCAGCGACAAAGCTAAGAAGGCCACCCCTCCTGGGAGAGACCAAGTGGTGACCACCCCAGTCCTGTCAAGGGGTAGATGACTGACGGTACACACTGTGGTGTGGGCGGACCTTGCTTGAGGTGGAGCACTGGGGCCCTCGAATCAGGGGTTCTTTCTTCTTCCCAGCTGGGCCCCAGGACTCCGGCAAAAGCCGAGAAGGGCATCAGCTACTTTCTGGAGCCAACGCAGCAGGGCCTAAGAGCCTGGGGAAGGGGGCTGGGAAAAGGAGGCATGGCCTCTGTCGGTGAGAAGTTTCCATGGGTGGGGGAGGAACGTGGCCCCTGCGGGCCTCCCAAGCCAATCCGATAAGGAGGGGCAAGCGCTCTGCACGAGCCCAAGAAAGACGGGAGAAAGGGGGTACAGTCCGCCAGCCCCAGGCTTCACGGTCTGCGGAGACAAAGGCCCATCTCCTCTATCCTGGCCATAGGCTGCCCCATCCCTGACCAGCCATGTCAGGAATCGAGCTACCAGCCCACGTGGGACTGTGGCAAGTGCTGGGGTAAGACAGAGCCCCCTCGCCCGGCCTCACCGCACTTTCCCTCAGAGCCGCCGGCTCCTGGGGGCTGCAGCTTTGGCTGGGCCCCGGGCACTCTGCCGGAGCCCGGCTTGCAGCGGTCAGGCCCACCTTGCCATCCCCACCTGGAGCCTTGGGAGACATTCCGGGGCTGGCTCTGACACGAATTTGCTGCTCGGTGCGCCGGGCGATCAGAACTCACTCCTCTCCCTCTTCCCTGGGAGGTGTTGATAGTAACAGCAGAGCCGAGCTGCCAAGTTGGCAGGAGAACAGAGCGACTGTGCACTGCGGATGGAGGGGGGCGGGGAGCAGCCAGCAGGCGGAGGGCTGGGCTCGAGCCACGGTTTGTTTATCCCTCCAGTCCCCGCAGCCGGCATCTTGCACGCGGAGGGGAGGCCGTGCAGGAAGGCGGGAGGCTCTAGGGGAGGCCCAGGGCAGTGGTGCAGAGGGAGGCCTCTGGGAGGCTCCCGGGTCTGGGTACTGCTGGGGGAGGGGGGAGGGGGACAGGGTAGGGACCTCCTGCCCCAGCAGGCACGCCAGTCCTCACAGGCAGGATAGAAGTCTGTCTTTGTTCCTGCTGGGAAAGCAGCCCTGGAGTTTCCAAACCAGAGTGGACCTGGGTGGGGGATGCCGAGTTCTGGAGCTGCTTCTCCAGAGAGAGAGAGAGAGAGAGAGAGAGAGAGGATCTTAGGAAGGCACCCATGCTGTCTGTCAAACAGACCTGGCACCTTCGGCAAGTCATTCGACTTCTTTGAGACTCCGAGCTTAATAGCTGCTCTGGGTGAGGATTCAACAAGGTAATAGGGCAGAACTTGCCTCACTCTGTGGCAGACCCTGTTCTAAGAGCTGTTGTGAGTGAGCGCACTTAATCTTCAACTGGCTTTATCAGGTAGGTACTGTTATTCCCATTTTATTAACGAAGTGACGGAGGCCCAGAGAGGTTAAGTCACTTGCTCAAGGTCGCAGAGCTAGTGAGTGGCCAAGGTGGGCTGACTGAACCCAGGCGTGCGTCACTTAGGCCATGGTCCCAGCCCTTATACAAATGGCCTGCATAGTACAATAGAGTTCTTAGCACAGTGCCTGGCACAGAGCAAGCGTTTAATAAATGTTAGAGCTCACCATTAGCCCAGAGCAACTCCAGACAGGGGACCCAGGCTCCTGACATCCTCCCCAGGGACTCCATGGGCCCTACTGTTGTCTTCCTTTCCATCTTTGGCCCGCACTGCCTGGCTTACTTGAGCGGCTGGAACATTTCCTCCTTGGGAATGAGAGCCGCTGGCCTTCTCTGCTCCCCTCGTCCTGTCCCCTCTTCCTGCCGAGGCAGAGCCGTGCAGAGCCTAGCGAGGAATTCTCAGCTTCCTCTAGTTACCCTCAGCCTGCAAAGAAAACAGAGTCTGCTGTGTGTGCTGCCAGTTCCTCTCTGGTGACAGCCGCAACCCATTTGCTCAGCGCCAGCCCCAGCCTGTGCTGCGGGGAGAACGGGTAGCCTAGGGCCGGACCTGGGTGCCCTACATTAGACCCCGGGCCTGTCGCTTCAGGGATGGTCCTTGGGGACAGCTCACGGCGAGAGGGCCAGGCCAAACAATTTCTTGAAGAGCCTTTTGGCTCTACGAACTGACTGAAGGTTGGTGTACCACATTCACAGTCTCTTCCTAGGACAGGAAGTCCATTGCGGAAATGCGTTCCCCGTATTTTGGGGCAGTTCATTCATGCAGCCTTGCAAATTAGTAACCAGCTTTACAAGTCCACCTACTGTGCTACTGGCCACCTTTGCCTCGTAGAAGGTACCAGGGAATGGGTCCTTTGCCACGTGCCGGGCAGCCAGAGCTTCCTCTGTTAGCTGTGAGATAGCCACACCAGAGTCAGGAGTTTGGATTAACAACTGCTTCTGAGGCCTGAGTTCCTCTTTGAGACAATGAAACACCAATTATCAGTGCTGGGGGAAAGGAGCCGCAGTGTAGATAATCTTAAAACAACACTGTTGTGTTACGTGTTGGGGGGAACATTGTGGGTATCTTAGTTACAGATTTACTCTCCTAATCGTTTCCTTCAGGCTGGCTCAGAGGCAGGGGGATGTCCAAGATGACCTGCAAGCGTTCCTTCCCTCTGGAGGCCTCCGTAGAAATCCAGAATGAGCGAGCAGAAGTGGGTCGAGGTTCGATTTTCCTGAAGAAGCCCTGAGCTGGAGACAGGATGCGTTGACTATTTATTTATTTACGAGGCTATCGATTATAATGCAGCTTTTCCACAGGATCCTGGGCCAGAGTTGGGGGAAGAATCCTCTTACCACTTAGCTCCGTTTGCCCTGAGATGTCAGGCACTCAGATGGGCTGCCCGCCCCCCCCCCAACCCTGGTTCCTCCTCCTCTCCTCACCCTTTCTGCAGCCCTCACACCTGAGTGTACTGAGGGTGGGGGGTTCCAGACAACCTCCCTGGTTTCCTGTTTTCTCAGGTCTGAATGTTCTAGGTTCCTACCAATATTTAGGACATACTGGAGCACCCCAAATCTTAACAGCAGGGCGTGGCTTAACTCAGGTACAGATAGATGTTCGATTTCTGAGCTGTGAAAGACCTCTGAGATCCTTTCAGTAAAACCCTTTTGTTTTACTGTGAAGGAACAGAGGCCAAGGGCAAGTGATTTCCCCAAAGTCACACAAAGAGAGATGCACAAGGTGGACAAGAGTGGAGGCCTCCTGATACCCCCCGGGGGATGGAGAACACTTAGCGCCTTACCACATGGCCTCCCAATCTGGCCCCTCCACCCAGGGTTGGGGATGGCACTGAGCTAGGAATCCCTCTCCAGGAAAGGGGGCCCCTTTTGCAGCCTCTCCTTAGTTTGTTTTGTGCTTGATGAAATCTTTGCTCTCAGTCTCCCCAACCCTGACCTGGGATTGAGGGGTTTGCATGTAACCCCAGAGGAAAACAGAGACCAGTGACAATGATAATGAACCTGCTCAGCCTCTGCTGGTGGAATCCACCCTCCAGTCCTACCTCCCTCCCCCCATCAGCCACCTTTCCAGAGGCCTCTCCCAGCCTCTGTGCTCCATCACCAGCCTTCAGATTGGCACACTTGCCCATGTCTACTTGTCCCTATGAAAGAAAACGGGGGCTCTTCCTCGGCTTTGTTTCCATGGCTCAGTTTGCCAGAGAGGCAGGAATAGGCCTTCCTAGGTGCGCAGAATCCAGGACACAGGCCAGCACCGCACCGAGTCCCAAAGGCTGGCTCCCCGCTTTGGAGATGCTCCCCACTTTGGCCCAGTTGAACATGGCTGTAAAGGTGAGGGCGATTGCTTGGAGAGTGCAAGCTGGAAAGGAGCAGAGAAAGAGGCAGAGGATCTGAAGCAGGCTCTGCACTGTCAGCGGAGACCCCAACACGGGGCTCAAACTCACCAACTGTGAGACCATGACCTGAGCCGTAGTCGGACGCTTAACTGACTGAGCCACCCAGGCACCCCTTCCTTGCACTTTTCTTATCACACATCACTGATTTTTTTTATTGTAACTATTTACCTCATATGCCTTAACTTCCTTCCTAGACTATGATCTCTTTAACAGTAGGGGTTGGGTCACATTTGGGGTGTCCCCAGCACCAGGCCCTGTGCTAGTACATGGCAGGGGGCCATTAAATGTGTGTTGGATGAGGGAATGAATACATGACTGAATGGATTTGAATCGTAGTGAGGTCTAGTGTTTGCCCATGGTGGAGCAGCAAGTCAGAATTCACTCTTCTGATAGGCCCAGCTTTCCACTTCCTTGATAAAGACACCACGGGAAGTGAGGGGGACGGAAGTGTTTCATGGATGAGCGAGGTCAGGACCACAGACCCCGGCGTGTGTGTAATTACAGAGCCTCTTCATGCTGGCAGCGTGCTGGGGGACTTTTTCAGTTCTCCAGGCTGGGAGCTGCGGGTACTCCTGATGGCTCTGTGGGATCTAACACAGCTCTGAAAGGAAAAGAGAGAAGAGGCTGATCACACTTGTGAACGATTGCTTTGTCAAGTGCAGGGTCTGCAGCATGCAGGCCTCCAGCGTGCATCCCACCTTCAAGACCCACTTCATTAGCTCAGAGGGGCCTCCAGTACCCCTTTCTGTGCTGGCTGGACTCTGGGAGATCAGGGGCTCCACATGGAGCGGCTCACGGTCTCCAGCTGGGGTTAAGGGCAGGGTCAATCCGCTGGGAGTCCTTACAAGTTGAGAAGGGGTAACAGGAAGCTCTGAGGTTCAAGGCACTGGGCAGAGGACCTGGAGTGTGCGTATCATCTACGGGGGTGTGTATTTGTGTGTGTGTGTGTGCATGTATGTGTGTTTGTATGTGTTCATGCTCACCTGAATGTGTCAGAAGCAATGAGGGGGCCCCAAAGTGGGACAGTGCTTTCTGCAAGGCCTTGAGGAACCCTGCTGGGCCCACTTTCTTAAAGGCTGTGTTCAAGATTCAGCTTTTCTGGGGGCATCCGAGTGGCTCAGTCAGTTGAGCCTCTGAGTCTTGATCTAGGGTCTGGTCTTTTTTTTTTTTAATGTTTTTTTTTTAATTTATTTTTGAGAGAGAGAGAGAGACAGCGTGAGCAGGGGAGGGTCAGAGAGAGAGGGAGATACAGAATCAGAATCAGGTTCCAGGCTCTGAGCTGGCTGTCAGCACAGAGCCCGATGTGGGGCTCGAACCCACAAACCGTGAGATCATGACCTGAGCCGAAGTCGGACACTTAACCGACTGAGCCGCCCAGGCACCCCTAGGGTCAGGTCTTGATCTCATGATTGTGAGTTTGAGCCCTGCGTTGGGCTCCATGCTGGGCATGAAGCTTACTTAAAAAAAAAAAAAAAAAAGTAAAGAATAAAACATAAAAGACTCAGCTTTTCTATTCCAAGGCAAAATAGGCAGACAGGCTGATCAGACTCCTGGGAGGATCATGGCTGAGAGGATGTTTTCCAGATCTGCCTTCTGCTCTCACTTTTGTTGAGAGAACGTAGGTTCTTAGCCAGCACTCCCAGCCTCATTCCTACAACTGTGGGAATCTCCTGCCCAAACAGAACCACAGCCTAAAAACTTTGCCTGTGCGTGGTAGTTTTACTCTGATACTTGTCTTTTCAAAGCCCATTTACATCCATTATCACCCTCCATTCTTACAACAACCCCTCCAGAGGTGCAGAAAGCTGATTCTTTTGGGTTTTTTAAAATTTTTTTTATGTTTATTTATTTTGAGAGAGAAAGAGAGAGAGAGAGGGTGCATGCATGTGCAAGTGGGAAAGAGAGAGAGAGAATCCCAAGCAGGCTCTGCACTAACAAGCACAGAACCCCTATGTGGGACTCAAACTCATGAACTGTGAGATTATGACCTGAGCCAAAATCAGGAGTTGGATGCTTAGC